TTGCATCGATGGCTATACAACGCTGTTACGCGATTCGGAATCCATTTAAACCGCAGATTAAGAAACATAAGTTGATCACGTGGCTGGTCGGCATATGGTGCTTGTCAGTTGTACTTGTTATTCCTCAAATCGTCGTCACAAACGTTTCTTCTACTCAATCCTGCCACGAAGAATGGTTTTCGAAGGCGTACCCCAAATTGTACACAGCATCTCTGTTTGCGCTTCAATATGTCTTCCCGTTGGCTGTAATCAGTGTATCGTACATAAGAGTTGCTATCTACGTTTCTTGGTCTAACTGCAACTCAAGGCAGTTAGGAACCAATGTTCAAAACAACAAACGGGTAAAGGACGAAAAGGCGGTCAAGAGAACAATAATTATCATACTGGTTGTGTTTTTACTCTGTATGTTACCAAACCAAGTGGTGTATTTTCTCCTGGATTTTGGCTCAGTGGATCAGAAGCGAGCAGCCATATCTCAGTTAGACACATCAGCATATTGAGAAATACCAACATATTTTCATAGCTGCGTCAATCCCATTATTTATGGCGCGGTGTTTCGGCAGTTCCGAGAAGGATATGCTCGTTATGTCTCCTATATTTTACATTTCTGGTGTGGGAAAAGTTGTAGTAAGAAAGACGATCAAGGGGAAGCTTTCGCAGATGGTTTGGCGCCAAGAAGGTGCCGTGGACTTGAACAAGTAGAACTCAATGAACAATTTTTAATGGAAGAAAATTACATAGAACAAAAGAAACGTGGACGAGGTTTAACCGGTGATGGCACGGTTGTCATGGAGAGTAATGTTAGCGCTTATTTTAACAAACACTGATGGAGGTTCTATTATAAGGGGGGGGGGNGCTCCCGTCCCCTGTAAATTGGCAGAGTCAAAACACATCCTAGTCATTTGGCTTCGCAATTCTTAAGCATTTCCTTTGTTTTTAAATAATTTAACAAGTTTACCAATGAAGTTTTGACCTACTTGTTTATCTTCTTTGAGTCTCACCATTTCAGTCCATTTTCATGGGCTCTTCAGATTTGTTTCTGATATCCGTTTTCAGTGACGACGGTCACAAAAGTTAATTCTAAATTGTCTCGTGTTCTGATAAAGTATACGCATTTCCAGCAACCAGTCCGGCGTTTATTGGGATCAGGCAATTAAATCATGGAAGTAGGTCGTCTCAACGTTTTACAATTTGACAGCTTACGCGACAAATGTGCATTCATGCCGCTTGACATTTCATGACCTATAATACATGTACTATTTGATTTGGGTTCTGATTGGTTCACAGGGTTTGTTTTTTCTGCCTTTTTTGTGATTGGCCAAAGTGATTACTTGAGTTTTTAGCCTTACGCGGAATATTTCTCGTATCCCTGTTTATGCCGTGGATCGGCGAAAGCTTGGATTTTAAAAGATTTTAAAATTAATTTAACATTAGTTTTAGGCTTCATTTGAACTTTTGTCAGTTTTGTTATTTAAAAATGCTACTGAAGGGCAATATCCAACGAGTTTTGTTTTGGTTTTGTTTTCAGGACACTCAATAAGGGATCTTTGCTGACGTCCTAGCTTACATTTTGCAGCGAAGGCGTCTTGGTAGATAGGAATGAACTCCAAACAGTTAAAGAGCTTGTTAAACTTAGTAATTGGTAATATTTGCAGCTCTTACGGTGACAAGTTGTAAGAGATATTACCTTTCATGAATAGCAAATTTTGGGTATATATTCGTCATCCTATAGCCCATATATTCGTTGCGTTATTCGGAGTTTTTAAACCCGTGTCGCACAAAAAAGTATCTAATATATCGGACCCAACTTTCTTGGGACTGTTATAATCGTGCCATGACTTTTCAATATTCAGAGCCGATATTTTTGTAGCTTGATCACGAACTGTATCGCTTATGTTAATGTGGAACATTTTGTAAGTAAGTATTCGCCTATTGAGAACGGTTGATAGGGAAGGGGTTAAATTTGAGGAATTAGCAAATCGGTTTGCAAGGCAGATGTAGGGGTCACCATTCAGTAGCTGCATCAGAAAATGTTAAGTGTTCGTGTTTCCAAACACTTTTAGGGCCGGGAGAATGTCCTCAAAGATAAACATACGTACACTCTTTTCTATAAGAATATTGTTTTTTTGGTCGAGGTTGAATATTCATATTTTTCTGCCGATTTCAGGCTGAATATTCTTATTTGTGAGCCGATTTTAGGCTGAAAATATTCTTGTGAATATTCTACGATTATAGTGTATGACATCTTTGTTTTCGAATGTATTTAGTGACGTCTGAATTTTGAAGACAGCCTGCGGGTATTAAAGCCTGATATGGCACACATAACTTCTTGAAGAGATGTTACTGGCATAGAACATACGGCTAGTGCTGAGTGTCTGGCTTTTTGGCTAGTTTTCCCGTCTGGAGATCAGAAAGGAAAAAATTTATACGGTTTAAACTGAACGGATAATTGTATTGTATTTACAATGTTTCAACACACACAATTATATTCTTTTCAAAATCCCAGCCGCGGGTTTGTTCTTAAAATATTGTTAAAATTTCGCAAATTTCAGCCTCGATATTCTTGTAAAATATGTTCTCAGTATAAGTATACGTTGAGGGACGACAGAGGGAACCAATGTTCAAGGAACCCCTTGAGTATAACTTCCTGTCTTCCATGTTATAAAGGACAAGCTGTCGGCACATGTACATTTATTGAAAGGAATAGTGTTAATAATAGAACTGCAGACCAAAATACCTTGTTTGTGTGACACCAAAATTACTGACATTGAAAGAAACTGTCAAAAAAAGCTTACTAAAGAGGTCGACAATTAAAAGGTAGTTTGAATAATTTACAGGAAAACTGTTGATATTATATCAGCGACGAAATAGCCGTCCTTTGGTAAGTAATATATGTCTAGAGAAATTTTTTCTTGGTAAGATAGTAGAAACACTTCGCGAACGTATCCAGTTGATAATTGCACAATACTAATGGTACCGAACAACAACAGGATCTGCTAAATCAATTAAAACTGAAGGTTGACTGTTAAACTTAAACGATTGAATTCTGAATCACATCTAAATATATATATTTTACTCGCCTTATTTACATTTATATTAGTTGTTATTTTACCGGGGAAGCATAATATATTGAATTCTGAATCAGATCGAAATATATGTTCTAGTTGCCTCATTTACATTTATATTAGTTGTTATTTTTACTCTGGTGAGCATAATATATTGAATTCTCAATCAGATCTAAATATATATTCTAGTTGCTTTACTTACATTTATATTACTAGTTGTTATTTTGCCCTGTATGAACATAATATAGGTAGGTCGGTGGACACCATAGTTTAATATGTATCAGGGATCAAAAGGGGTCATATTAAAATTTATTATATGGAGAAGAGTGTTTTACTGGGAACTAAACCACTCGTAGATTCCATACGCCACTTCATCCGGGACCCGAGTGGCGTATNTTATGTTCTCGTGGCAAGAACAATATCTCACGAGTGAGCGAAGCGAACGAGTGAGATATTGTTCTTGCCACGAGAACATAAAATTCATATCTTCTCGCCGCCGTGTAATATCCTCTATATACATAAGGACTAAAAACAGACAATGCTGAAATAATTACAGAAAAAAAACAACGCCAAAAGATATGTTTCAATAAAGTTTGTATAAGCTGAATGAGTTGAAGAACTGTTAACAGTTGCAAATCTCACAACATTTTTCCTTCAGCCTTCGGCCATTTCACCAAAGCCCAGCAATATTTGTTAAAATAAGCTAGTACTATACATTACTTTCCAAGACGACATTCCCAAAAGGCCCATCACCGGTTAAACCTCTCCGATGTTCATTTTGTCCTATGTCTACGAAATTGTCTTCCATTAAAACTTGTTCATTGAGCTCTGCTTGTTCACGTCCGCGTCTCCGTCTTGGGGCCAGACCTTCTACGAAAGCTTTTTCTCGGCCATGATTGTTTTTCTTACTACAACTTTTCCCACAGCAGAAATGTAAGATATAGGAGACATACCGAGCATATCCTTCTCGGAACTGCCGAAACACCGCGCCATAAATAATGGGATTGATGCAGCTATGAAAATATGTTGGTATGTCTAAATATGCTGGTTTGTCTAACAAAGATATGGCTGCTCGCTTCTGATCCACTGAGCCAAAATCCAGGAGAAAATACGTCACTTGGTTTGGTAACATACAGAGTAAAAACACAACCAGTATGATAATTATTGTTCTCTTGACCGCCTTTTCTTCCTTTGCACGTTTGTTGTTTTGAACATTGGTTCCTAACTGCCTTGAGTTGCAGTTAGACTCAGAAACGTAAATAGCGATTCTGATGTACGATACACTGATCACTGCCAAAGGGAAGACATACTGAAACACAAACAGAAATACTGTGTACAATTTGGGGTACGCCTTTGAAGACCATTCTTCGTGGCAGGATTGAGTAGAAGAAACGTTTGTGACGACGATTTGAGGAATAACAAGTACAACTGACAAGCACCATATGCCAACCAGCCACATGATCAACTTATGTTTCTTAATCTGCGGTTTAAATGGATTCCGAATCGCGTAACAGCGTTGTATAGCCATCGATGCAACCGTGGCTATGCTCACAGAGTAAGTAGCTGTTATCATGGGAAATCCAAATTTACAGACAAACGTCGATCCATATTGCTGTACAAAGTAGATGTAGACGCTCAGTGGCGATGCGACAGTGATAAAAACAACATCCGATAAAGTCAAATTTGTGATGAAAATGTCGTTGACAGTTTTGCTTTCCTTCTTACCAAATATAACCACGAGGACGAGCGAATTTTCTGTCAAACCCACGACGAAGATAGAAATGTAAAAGGCAAGCATTGCTAGGCTGCCTTCTTGTTGTCTAACTTTGTATCCTTCCACATCTAACTCACTAGATGTTGTATCGTTCATGGTTAAGTTTGCTTTTTTTTAGATCGATCTTTCCTAATTTATATCAGCTGCAGCTCGAAGTCTGGGTTTTGTTGGTTTGCTTTCCTGTCCGCATGTTTTGACAATCTCTGGACAGATGTCTCTAATAATTTGCGCATTTATGCACGAAAACTGTCGATGCTTGATTCGGGGGGGGGCGGG